TGCAATCTTTCTTTAGTGTGATGCTAAAGAGCCCATTGGTGTGATGCCTTGGGTTTTCTAGGTGTGATATCTAGATCTATCTTTCTTTAACCTTTCCTTTACTTCCTACAAATCACTGTTCACGTCTACTGTTCATATATGCTGTTCACAGTCCAAAAAACAGCCCTGTTATTTGTGTGTTTGCTCATACTTAGGCCTATTTCGAATCTGTCCTGCATCAACTTGTATGTAGTTGTCTATGTAGTAAGTAAGATTTCGTTGTGTTGTAAATATATCTTTAACTTTGAACTTCTAACTTGACATCTTCGAACTTTTAACTTGAGAATCTGTGTTTGGAAAGGTATTCCAAACATATTTACACCCACTAATTTGAGTGTGGTATTTATTTTGAGTTTTTAAATTATTATTCTACATCTGTTTTTGAAAACTCCTTTTCAGGTGGGAAAATTTAGTTAATCCGGTCGTCCTCCCGGACGTTCAGCTGGTTGACCGGAACAGTGTTCGTTTTTTTTTTGTGCACTTGTTATTTTTATATTTTATATAAAAAATATTTTCGGAATTTTTTTAAATTTTTTTATGAGTTTTGAATAGAATTTTGGGTTGTGTGTTTGATTATTAGTTGTAAGTTTTTTAATCAAATATCATGTCACATCAAAAATTTCAAACTCTTTTCAAAACTTATAACCAAACAAATTTTCCACACTCAAATAATTATTCCAAAATTCACAAACTCAAAATACAACTCTATTTTCAAATCATAATTCTAAAACTCTACCATACGCTACCTAAGATACAGGCTCACCATACTCCAAATGGCAACTTCAGACTAAACTTCAGCAGATTATCTGGGAATTCAGTTGAAATGTTGAATTTGGCTACAATACTGTAACATTCAATCTATGTCATCCTAATTTGGCCAAAATTTTGAAGATTTTGAAAATGTAGCTCAGGCACAAAGACCCAGATTCATGGAAAATTTATAGGTGATCGACAAGATTCCACGTGACCATAGAACTGAATATAATACAAAAAGCAAACCAAAACAGAATAAATGAAATCAACCTGCTTGAAGATAGTGCTTGTCCCAGACCCCTCTAACCCAAACAGCAGAAGTTTCTGAACTCTTCCATGCTCTAAATACTCAGGCACAGATCTACCTGAATATGTCGTTGGATCTTCTTTTGGGACATAAGGATTTAGAGGAGGCACAGGCAATGATACTAACGAACAAATGAAACGAATGGATGCCTGCCTAGCAAAAACCAAACAGTAACTGTTTAAATATCAATTAACAATCGTTTGGTGAAGGTCAAACTTGATACTGATAACAAAATTTGTTTGCCACAGATTACGAGAGAACCTTTCCCCATATGTTCCCTTTTATATTGTTTTGACCCTCTTCCTCATATGACCCATCATCGTACACCCAAAAATGAGTATCTCGCGGACACTGAACGTTGGCCAGCTGAAATGAAAATCAACGAGAGAACACATTGTTAAGCACTCAAATGGAAAGCAACCAAAGCATAAAGGAAAATTAAATACAATAAATAGATTAGCCACCCAAATGAGGAAAACAAGTTAGAGGGCTCAACAGATAGCATTTTGAAAGAAAACATATATGAGGTTAGAAAAACAATAAAATCAGCCAGAATAAATGAATAATTACATAACCATCATAGATACAGAATTAGCAAATGATGCAGCATATAGAAGATTTTGTTACTTTGACAAGACAACTTAACGTCAAAACACAAAAACTATAAGCTCACTATGCAAAGAGTTTATAGAACTACACAAGCAAAATGCACTAGAAACAGGATGTATGTTAAAACTGATATACAATGGTGATGGAAGATAGCATCCATAGCTCTATCAGCATAAAGTACTGAAATACCAAAGGTCTATAAGCATACTGAACCCAAAAAGGGGGATGTGCAGGTACTACCCACACAGCTATGCACAATTCAAACCAAACCCTAAAAACAAGTTTAATTTTGAAATGTATGTTTGGTTCATGTTCATCATTTCATGATTGTTCTTGGTTTTCATTTTTCAACTTTTCGCAAATGAAAAGTTTTGAGAACACAATAATTTTCAAATCAATTCTATTTTCTTATGAATACAAGATTCTGAAAACTATCCAAGATAAATTACTAAAAATGAAACATGTTCAGGAAATTTTCTTGAAAACAGTTCCGCCAAACACATTTTATGTTGTTTTCGTCTTCTCTCTTTTTTGGAACATAAAATGGTTTTAAAAAATAACACCAAACACCTTTCACTACCTCTCTACCCTCCCAGAACCCAAACTATTCTACCAATTTCTTCTTCCTACCAAGCTCCTGGTCCTCTTGCAACTGTTACTGCTTCGGCATTGGGAGAAAGGTTGTTTCTCTGAACCCATCAAAGGAAGCCCAACAATTTCATCCACACCTAATTTGCTTCAATTCAACCAAAGTAACCTGGAAAGTGGATCATTCTGGTTCAAGCATCGAGAATACAGACATGGTCTGCCATGTGCTCTAAAATGTGGTGAGATAGGTGTAGGATAACATTAATAAAATTTATTAAGGCCCTACTAAATGTGAGTATTTTTTTTTTTGTTAAAAATTAGACATCTAATATAATATAGTCTATTATTCTTCAAACTAATCATGTAAAAAGACATATCCGGCGTATTATGGCCTCTTTTATTACATTTTGTTATGCCAAAACTCTCCTCTCTCTAGATTTATTTCATTATACTTGTTTCATTTCCTAAAGAAACTGTCATGGCAATAAATAGGGAAAAAATTGGATCACTTTGCATTACTAAATTTATTGTTTTGAAACGAAATTGTACCATGTTATTAGCATTTTCTAGTAAAAATTGAATTTAACAAAGCCTCATTTCTAGGTATCATACTCATAAGGCATGTTTAGTGTCTTGAATTGACTTTCCACCAACCTCAATCTATAGGGCACTCTCATATTTAGAAGCCAATAATTAATCAGATCTTCTCTCCATCCTAATGCCTCATCACAGTCCTTGGCTATCACTATGCTTCTCGTCAAACCTCCGCTCACAATCTAAGAATCCCACCTCCTATAAATAATCAAGTAGTGGCACTGTGGCATTGAGAAAAGGAATTAAGAAGTTTTGAATCTCAATCAATAGATGACAATTAGTTACAAAGTAAAAATTACTGTATAATCAGTTCTACAGCATTGATTTTCCAAACATTGCCTGCAAGAGGTTCTAGAGACTAATAGAGGATGACTACTTATCCACAGTGGAGATGTAACTGGTAATCATGGCATAATTTCTATATTTGAGAATGCTAGCTCCTGATCTTGAAAGACATTTGCAGCTAATTGACACTTAGGGTAAATGCAACATATCACAAATTAAGTCTAGTGCTGCTACAGAAGAAACACATAGTTATGTTCACCATTCACAATTCACGTGCATTGAATGTGTGTCACAGTGTTCCTTGGGTGGAGAGATGATTGATGTAAGTATTAAAGATTTGTGCATAAAAGAGATCACTTACCTTCAATACCCTGAACTCAATTCTCGTGATTTCGCGACCATTCATATAAACTTTTGTATTGCCGTTGCTCGCATCCGGCCGAAGTTTACCCCCAACATTCAATTTGGAAGTTATAATCCTGTCAGGCTTCTCTCCCTCCTGAAATTCCATTCTTAAATATGTAAACAAATAAAAAAATAAAATAAAATAAAATAAATAAGTGAATACAAATTTCGAAAAAACAATCCATAGACCAAACAATATTCTCTGATTTCACCTTCCCCCAAAGCCCAGAATCTTTGTCATACCAGTACCGCCCAGGTTTCAACTTCTGAGGAGGCATCAGGCAACCCAAAACCTCCGCCAATTCTTCTTGCCGTAACTGTCTTCCATTCACAACAAGCTGCTCGGGTCGAAGCTGATTCGCCGAGCACTCCCTCTCGGCTTTCATAATCTGCCTGATCTCCAAAGGACTGCAGACCCTCGCCAACATCCTCGAACATTTCCCCAAACTTGGCCGCTTCGACTCATCAATGGGTTGCCCAATACAGCTCACGCACTTCCTCCCTTCAGGCATCGACCCCATGGCCTTGAGCACACAATTGCTACAATACCTTTCGTCACACACAATACAAGCCTCTCTCTCCCTTAACCGGTTACGTCTCCCACACCTACTGCAAACCCCACTCTTCCTCAGCAACCGCTTCTCTCTACTCCGAGCCACAACAGGGGACGCTGCAATATCAGTGACGCTCGACCTCTCTGAAGATAACTCATCCTCTTCATCCTTGTCCGTATCGAAAGTCACTACAGCTCGTCTTGCTTCAACCACAGGTCTGCGAATCGAACTAGCAACACTCGAAGCATAAACCGAATTCGGATCTCGAGCCAGCGATGGATTAGCCGAATAAAACTCCTCCTTTTCATCATCTCTTGCAGCCAATTCCTCCAAATCCTCATTCTGCAACTCCTGTTGACTCCGCGAAAGCGACGACGATCTCCGATTCACCTCCATTGGACTCGTGCTTCTTCCGCCTTTGTTGAACCTCGAAAGCTTCGCGATCGGGACAGCAACAGGGACAACTGGTACGCATTCGGAAACGGAAACGATTGAAGAGGTGCGAATGGAGATGGAATCGACGTCCAGTGGATCGACCTTGGGGACCTGGTAAGGCACAGGAGGGCCGTCGTACTCAATCGCGATGGAGTAATCGAGCTGTTCTTCGTTAGGCAATGGAGCTCCGGCAGGTAACATCTTCCTCAGAACTTCTTCCCACCTCTTCGCATCTTCCACCTCCGGTGACGCCATTGATGATGCTGGGAGTATTGAAGAAAATTCCTCAAAATCAGAGGTTGGAGATCGAAGAGAGATTGAACAAGACTAGGGTTTCGGAGCAGGAAGAAGACATGGATCGAATCAAGGTTTGAGAGAATGAAAGTGATGGGGGCATTGAATCAGTCAAAAGTCTCTCTGAGAATCGGTAAGAGTAACGAGAGGCAGGTTTATAATTTATTTTATTATTTTGTTTTCTATTTATTTTGGGTAAGCTAATAATTACATTTTGAGTAAGTAACTGGCCTTAGCTCGTCGTTGTCGAAGATTACTGAAATCTGGAGTTAGATTAGTTATAAGGATTTCATATAAATTTTAGGAAAAAAAAATTCGGTCAAAGTTTGAAAAATAATTATAAAAAATAAGTAGTAAATTTTATAAATATGAATAATTATAATTATTATTTTTTTAATATGTAAAATAAGTAGTTTATGAAACTTGAATGGTAATTTTTCTTAAATTTTTTATAATTTTATTGATGTTAAACGTATACCTAAAATAATGTAAATTTATTCACCCAACATGGAGAGGAAGTGTAAAGTTGATGGTTCCCTATTGAACAACCAATCAAGATGAAGTGTAATGTTCACACGCGGTAAAAGCGTGTGAATAAATTTTAAAAAAATGTTAGAAATTTTAAAAAAATTATTAATTTTTTTATCAAATATTTTACATAAGTGTTAGATTCACACCATATGGATCTCACACTCACATTTGATAAAAAAAAATAATAAAATATTTAAAATCTCTACCATTATTCTAAATTTACCCTTCACACAAAATACATTTCAAGTTGAAAAAACGAAAGAGATAATTAATGAGATAATTTTAAAGATGTTACAATATTTAAGTTGTCATATGTAATATACATGTTAATTTTTTGTTTATTTATGAAGTTTCACATTAATAATTAAGATGACAAAGTATAATTTTTAATTAAAAGACTAAAGTGACACTAAATGATAATTTATTATATGTATTAAATTTATTTATTTGAACAGTAGATCCAAGTTTTTTCATTTAAAACCAAAAACATAAAATCAAACTAAAACCATGAAGGCCTCTCGACCTCGTCAGTCGATATTCTTTTTTTTCTTTTTTTTTTTATTCGATTCCAGCTTAAATGATTAAAACTACATAGGGGCATTTACATACAAGTCCCATATTGTGAACTTATAATCCATTAAGTCCTAAACAAGATTATTTACTCCTTTAAGTTCCATTAATTTTTAATAAACTAATTTATCTTTAATTTACCCTTCTAAGACCTCCATCACATCCAGATGTCTTACTACATACTTGGTGTGAAAAGTTGATGTCTTTATTCTTTCTCTTACTTTTAAAGCCACTCCCCAATAACAACAACCAAACATGCCGTTCTATCTCATTTGTTTTCTATTTATTTTTTTTTCCAGACTCCCTCTTTCACATATAAAAAATAGAGCCCGAGCTTTTTGACTTTGGTTATTTCCTTATCTATCTCAACACCATCAACACCTGCCTTATCGTTCTTCTCCACCATGCCAAATCAAAGCTCGTCTTCTTGATTTTCATATTCGATCACTAGTTCTCGAAGCTCTCTCTTTGTACCCACCAAATATACAACATCCTAAGTTCATCCTCATCATGGATGATGTGATTTCAGACCCAATCCCCTCACATCTGCCATTGGTGACTACGAGAGCTTGGGAAAAAATGATGATTCTAGGTTCAACTGGGTTTGTCCTTTAAATGAGTGGAGACTCGATCACATTAAACTACACCTCCAAGACCACTTATTCCCCGAAAAAGGTATTTCATTCTCATCGTGCCATTTTCAATGGTTGTGCAAAAACTAAGAATTTTTCATAAACAATGGTCGTGTAAAATTGAGAATATTATTAGTTAAAAACTGAAAAAAAATGATAATATTTTCAGTTTTAACACTAAAAAAATTGAAAAAATTTCTCAGTTTTATTGGATATTTTTGCAAACTAAACTCATTCTCAAATTTAAATTGAGAACATTCTCAGTTTTGGAACTGAGAATATCTCAGTTCTTACTTACAAACCAGATCTCCTGCCCCATCTCTTTAGTCGATTTCATATGCTCTGTTCTAAATCCTAAAATTGAGCAATCAAGCATTTTAAGGGTTGGAGTTACACACACACACAAAGTTGTTGCAAACTGAAGTGATCAAGGAAGAGAATAGATCGAAACGAAAGTGTAAAATGCCGAGGCATCACAAACCTCCAACTTAAAAATCTTCGGATAATTCAAACGATCATCATCATCAAATGTTTGAAAAGATCCATGAAGATGCAGACTCTGCTCTGCGTCTTAGTCGTAAAATTTCTTAGGGACGTTCCAAGTCCTCTTCTTTCTTTAAAGTTGCATCTCTAATACGTTAGATTCAAAAGAGCATGAACATCAATTGCATTCCAAAATGGGACTTGTGCGTACAAAAACTATTGCACAGGACTTAAACTACCACAGCTACTATCATTAGGACTTTTAAGTGATTAATTCAACTACATATACATACATTAGATTATAACAACAAATTAATGGCCTCAAATAACCAACAACATAAAAGATAAAAAATAAAAAAAAAAAGGAATCATTTTAATCCCTATTTTAATTCTCGACTGTCACATTTTTTAGAAATGAGCATTAATAAAAAGTATAGTATTTTCAAAAGCAATTTTGCTAAACAAAAAAATCATTAGAAATGAACATTAATAAAAGGGTGCTAATGCCACAAGTGTGTTAAAAACTCCCATTGACTTGTTATATAAACAAATCAAGTTTAAATGCAATTTTAAACTTGTTAAATTCTTAAGTCAAACTTGAACAACTTAATTCTTGGTTCAATAAATTTATACACACTATATAAAATCAAGTTACTTGAATTCAACTCGTGTTCAGTTAAAAACTCGTTCGAAATTGACATTTTATATAAACAAACCAAGTTCGAATATAATTTTACTTGTTTTCAGCCGGTGCAATTACACCAGTGATTTTACAAATTCATCACAAATTTCATTTCGATTAATAAAATTGTTTATTTAGTCAGTTCTTGTGCATAGATCATTCATAAAAAATAAAAAAATAAACCAGATTGGCACGAGCCACAAGCAAACATCAACTCAGCAATGGAAAAAATAGCGATTGAAAGCAAAAGAAGAGTAATCCAAGGTACTATTTATAACATTATTCCTTCTAAAACCAACTACATTCTGATTCATTTTCTGGTCTCTTGCAAAAGATATTAGATAATAATGCAAATGTTGATTAAGAAGCATTGTAAAAGCAAGTCACATGAACATAACAGATGGTAGAAATTGGCATAATTTTCTAGAGGTATTGTCATCTGATTACAAGACACGAGAGTAATATCTCCACATGTTTCAGCAGATGGAGGAAAGGGGCAAGGAAAGCTACTACTGATCCTTGTACCTCTTCTCCACTTCTTCCAAACTTTGAATCTCCTTGTAATACTTGCAAATGCGGTAGACACACCTGCATCAATGGACCCACATTCAAAATATATATATATATATATATATCTTTAAGCGGTATAGAATATGAATTGCAAACTAAAATAAAAATCCCAGAAGATAAGTTTGAAAGATGGGCCTTTCAGCCAGATGTATACCAATAGAGAAGGCATGATGCAGCACACAGAATAACATTCCTTTGAGCTTTGTAGATCTGCACAGCACACCAAAATGATCGGCTTAATTATAAATTAAACACTCACCACAACATTTAAAACGTCAGAGAGAGAGAGAGAGAGAGCGAGAGAGTTATTTTTATTTTTTAATTATAAGTAGAGAAAGAGATGCTTGTCATTCAAACAGCCTGCTAGAGATGGGGCCAATCAAAACTTCAACAAATCAGAAGTTTAGCACTCAACCACCTCCTGCCTTGGCTTGAGAAGGCTTGCAAGCAAGCCAGAATTACAGTTTAGGATGAAACATGCTGGTTAACTAGAAAAATAGGGTAAAAGGAAGTTCACTGATCAAATCCAGAAAAGCAACTTGAAATTTAGCAAGTTAATCCTTTACTGGCTTGTCACCAAGATATTTCTCTTGGAAAGTTTCTACATTGATATTAAACAAGGTTGTGTTGGTTTCCGAGAAAGCTTTAGAATGTTGCTTCCATGATTCTCATCATCTGTTAAATGTTAGTTACTTTTGTGGGATGTAGAGAATACAGACAATAATGAGAGACACAGAGAGAGCATTTCTATTTTCAATGACTATAACTACAAAGAAAATTGAAGAGACACAGATGAATGAAAGCATAGAGGACCTTCAAATATTTGGAAAGACTGAATAAAATAAATCTGAGAGATGTTTCATGAAAGATATGCCTGTCTTAGATAATGATGCATCAAAAGGTGAGGGCAACAAATAATTCCACATAACAATGGCAATGGATTTAATTTAACTCATAAACCAAATCATTCATCTCCTATTTGGGGGTTGGAACGAGGATGGGACACTCAAAAACTGGGTAGAGATGGATATGGTTTCCTGTAGTGCCCAGGCTAAAGCTCAGGATATGACAAGTATATATGGCCATGCCATCCCAATTTGCACCAATGATTACGATACATACGACTGCATCCCAATTTGTTGATCCAATTAGGACCACTTTAATAGGCACAATTAAATCAATAATAACTAGTATGGGAACATTTATATAGGAACAGTCGCTTCCTTGTCCCACACTGAAGAGAGAACAAGAAATTCTGCTTTGAGGGATTGCAAAAAGCTCCGTAGTTATGTTGTATTTATGGGTCAAATTAACCTCTTCAACATAAAGCTGTCTTTAGAATCAGATTTACTTAAGAGAACACTTTTCTGATGAGTTCACAGCCATTCACATAAATCTTGAAGGTCTCACAGGATATGGTAGAAAGCAAATTTTCTATCATGCCATATAAGAAAAAAGGTCTGCTTGCAGTGGAGAAGTCTAACTAGTATATGCCCCACTGAGCTCTAGTCCTTGTTCTGCACTTCAGCCACCCATCCAGTAGACTTGGCAAGGGGTTTTTCCGTCCTGAGGTGGGCAGTGCAGGTACCCACTTGAAAAAATTAAAGACTACTAGTGAAATGAATAATATAAAAAGCAAGAAATCTAAAGCAGATGTCAACTATCAAGGCTGGTTTTTTATTATAACAAAATGAGTAAAATGACAAATTTCACAATCTCATAATATGAAAAGTCTACAAAGTTGTGTTATAATAACAGTATTCTGTTACAACCTACATGATACTTTTTAGTGATAGAGATGGCATAGGTTAACAATTTCATGACCTATATGTGCAACCTTAAAAAAATCCCAAACCACTAACATGAGGAGCACATTGGAAATGATCATGGAAGAGCTTAACAAACATCACGAGGGATTTCAGCAAGACATGGACCAAGACAACCAAGGGAAAGCCAAAAAAAATCCTAAGTTGTGTTAGTTGACTAAAGTCTGGTCATGAGAGTAGGTAATTTCCCAACCCACAGCTTGATCAACCAGCATTTATGTGTGCTCAACCAAGTAGGCAGTCCAAAGAGTTCCAGACACTAGTTTGGTCGACCAACGTTAAAGTTTGATAGACCAATGTGGTCATTGTGGTTGATCAAGGTACAAGTTTGGTCAACCAACTGGAAGACACATGAGCTTGTGTTTTTGGTGTGTGTCATTTTAGGTGAGCCAAGAACACCTATATTTGTATTTGTGTATGTTGTCGTCGAGGCTGAGGGCAGGTCCAAGTGAAAACTTGTTTTGTGTTAGTGGAGAAACTTCAACAAGGGAGGCTGGGGGTGGATGTAGGCACAGACAAACCATTATAAATCTTGGTATTCATTTCCAGCTCTTAATTTCATGGGTCTTGATTAAGCAAAATGAATGTAAAATGATTACCCATCTGATATATAGTTGAGAAGACACATAAGATTGGGCATTTATAGACTTAATTACGAGAAGGAACAAAGTTTTCATTGGTAAATATTTTTATAACTAGCTCAAGTCAAACAATCAATTAGAGTTGAAATAAATATAGACCCCTCAGACTAACTTCTTGTACTAAATGCTTCTACAGGAATGCTATATAAAAAATTGAGTAAATTGATTATAAGAAAAAGATATAAAGGGACTAGGATACTCATCCCCGCATAAGAGATTAAAAATTAGAATTTTCCAAAAGCCCTGACGACTGAAGAAAAAGTTCAATTCATACATATGTATGTTTTTCTTTTCATTTCAGCCAAATCTATCATAGGGTTTAAAGAGCTCACATCATGAAAGAAAGGGTGAGAAAAAAAATTCAATTTTATCATTGTCAAACAGGAAAAAATATTACAAAATAATCTCTTGTTTAACATCATAAGGATATAAGACGGGGCACCACTTATCCCATCCTCATTCTCATCTTCCTTTTAAAACTAAGATCAATTATCAAACTATGGCTGGTCAGTTGCAAATATTTTGACATTAAGTCATGACCACATTGAACACACATTAAGACACCAATATTGCTTAACAGCTCTTCAGCCTGTCAAGGACATGTCCACAGGTTAAAACTAAAAGAATATCAGAATAAGAATTATTATTAACGCTAATTCATCTTGCATTTAGATTCAGATTCAGATTACTTACCTAGACAGTAAATCTAACACAAACGACAAAACCAATCCTAAGATCACCTCTAAGAGCTTCCCTCCAACTTAATTATAAGGACCAGACCTAGTTGCCTAAACTTTACATAAAGAGAAAGTTAGCCAACTGACTAATATGAGCAGACAATAGTATAAACACATAAATCCAAGTATTTGCTCTTGCTCTTCAAATACGATTAATACTCTATTGTTAACCATTTAATTCTTGCCTATCATAAAGAAGAAAGCACTTCACAACTGATGAAACATATAAAATATTCTAGCATATGAATAACACAATATGAAGCGTTTAAATTAAGTAGGATTATAAAAACATGGAATATGATTTTTTTTTTATCATAAAAAATAAAGAATATAACTTTAGAAAAACTAAAAGTAGCGATGAACATAAAGTTTAAATTAACTTTAGAATTCATTTTTTATGACCATAAATTAATATACATCACCTGTCACGCCAAAAACGAACTCTAAAGTTAATTTAAACAAACATAAAGTTGTCAACCATAAATTAGTACATCACAAATGTCAAATTTTATTAATTTAATAATGAATAGATCATCCACAAAAAATAAATACACAAATCAAATGTGTCCTAGGGCATATATCAGAAGGTAGGACGTGCATATCCATGATGTGTTCCTAACATGTCCAACAAGACCATAAAATAATAATAATAATAAATTGGCATACATGTGCCATGTCAAACGCATGTCCGAGGCATCAGGCAGAACTACAACAACAAATTTGAAGTCTACCACCCAAATATATATATATCATCAGGTCCTAAGCAAAAAAAATTAGCCCACTAAATCCCATGAATTTCTATATTTCAAAAATACCTTTATTTATAAGGCTACTCACCACTCAGTAGGCAACAGTTGAACAAAGCAAGTGAAATAAGGATGAGTGAGATTTGTTTTCTCATTCTATGTCAACATTCAAATGATGATAACCATATAATTCTTGCTCATCCAAAGAAAAAAAAAACTAAAACCTATGCATGAGGTCCAATTGAAAGATACAGAGCAAGTCCTAAGATCACCCCTAAAGTTTCACTCAAACCTCCAATAACAAGGACCATGAACAGTGTTCAATAACCACCAATGAATAATTCAATGAAAGTCTGATTACAAGACATAAAGAACAAATGTCCAACTGACTAATGTAAGCCCTCAACAGTATCAACCAATCAATCCATGTATTTGCTCTCGCCCTTTCAATGCCATCAGTACCTCAAAAATAAAAATAAAAGAATATTTTCACAATTGATAAAACATCTAAATTGTTCACATAGACCCACCTGACAATTCCAAGCAACTTTGATCTTACTTTTTTTTTTTTTAATTTATTATTATTATATTAGCAAATAACTCCGCCGGGGTTATTAACAACTCCGCCGGTCCCAAGCCCGAGTTAAGGAGGAGGGTTGTGTGTTAAGTAGCCAACAACCAACACGTAAAAAAAGTCGTTCGAATCTCTTATGAAAATGAATCCTACTTTGAATCGTTTAAATGATAGGTCGTTACCCTCAAGTAACGCGTTGCGCCTGCCTCTGGGTGTTTCGAAAAGTGAGCAAGGGGCCCTGCATCGACGTCTGGGTGTGGTGAAAAATGGGCAAAGGTTCCCGTGTTTTCCTGGACAAGCACGGGTAAAGAAGCTAGTTCAAGAATACAAGTTTAGGGTAGCCACTTGGAATATAGGAACCTTAACTGGTAAGACGATGGAATTGGTAGATGTTATGATTAGGAGGAGAGTTAGTATAGTTTGCGTACAATAAACTAAATGGACGGATGAGAAAGCTAAGGAAATTGAGGATACCAGTTTTAAACTGTACTATAGTGGTAAGGACAGACGCAGGAATAGGATAGGAATCATAATTGTAAAGGGTCTGGTGGAGAGTGTAGTGGCGGTCACTAGGAAAGGAGATAGGATTATGTTAGTTAAACTAGTTATTGGAGGGAATATAGTGAACGTTATTAGTGCATATGCCCCTCAAGTAGGATTAGATGATCAGACTAAGAGGAATTTTTGAGAGCAAATGGATGAGATCTTACAGGAAATACCTGCAGGAGAGAATTTGATTATAGGTGGAGATTTTAATGGCCATGTAGGCATAGATAAACTAGGCTATGAAAGGCTGCATGGTGGATACGATTTTGGTGACAGAAATGAGGCTGGAGAGAGTATCTTAGATTTTGTGTTGGTTTCTGTCCTGGTGGTGGCCAATACTATGTACAAGAAGAGAGAGGAACATTTGATAACTTTTAAGGGTGGGTCACTTAAAAGCCAGATAGATTACTTCTTAGTGAGAAAAGTGGACCGACTAAAATGCAATGATTGTAAGGTGATTCCTGAAGAGAGCCTGACCTCTCAACATAGGATTTTGGTACTAGATTTATGTTTTAGAGGGCAATACCAAGCTAGGAATAATGGTAGGCGTCGTAGGACGAGATGGTGGACGAGATGGTGGGACCTAAAAGGAAATAAACTAAAAATATTTAAGAATAGAATGGATAAAGAAGGTACTTGGGACTTGCAAGATAATGATAACACTATGTAGAACTTGATGGTCAATTGTATGAGGAGAATCTCAATGGAAGTGTTTGGAGAGTCGAAAGGGACGGGACCCACCTCTAGGGAAACTTGGTGGTGAGGAAAGAGGTTCAAGCAGTAGTTAAGACAAAAAAAGAGCGCTTTAAAAAGTGACAGAAGGATAGAACTGAGGAAAACTTTAAGAGCTATAGATTGGCTAATAAGGAGGTCAAAAAAGTAGTGAGAGGCGAAGTTGAAAGTTTATGATGACCTATACACTAGACTCGATAGTAAAGAGGGAGAGAAGAGAGTATACAAACTTGCTAAGATACGATAGAAGAAAACAAGAGATTTTAATCAAGTTAAGTGCATCAAGAATGAGGATTCTAAGGTATTGGTGAAGGATGAAGAGATTAAGGAAAGATGGAAGAACTATTTTGAGAAACTATTAAATGAAGAATATGGAGGTACGACAATAGGGGAAGCAATGGCCAGCAATACGATAAACCAAAACTATAGGTTTTATCGCAGGATTAGGAACTTTGAAGTGGAGATTGCACTTACGAAGATGAAATCAAATAAGGCTTTAGGACTCAATGGTATCCCTATTGAAGCTTGGAAGTGCTTGGGTAAAAAGGAGGTTGCTTGGTTGACTAGGTTGTTTAGCAAAATTTTGTTGACTAGGAACATGTCAAATGAGTGGAGGAAGAGTATTTTAGTACCAATATATAAAAATAAAAGAGATGTCCAGAATTGCAACAACCATAAAGGAATCAAGCTAATGTGCCATATAATGAAAGTGTGGGAGAGGGTGATGGAACGCCGATTGCGAGATGTAAAAGAGGTGTCAGAGAAACAATTTGGGTTTATGCTTGGCAAGTCAACAATGGAAGCGATTTATCTTTTGAGGAGAGTAATAGAAAAATATAGAAAAAAGAAAAGAGACATTTATATGGTGATTATCGACCTTGAGAAAGCATATGATAGAGTGCCCCGAGATATAATATGGTGGGTGTTAGAGAAGAAAGGGGTGACAAAATATTACATTAATGTGATTAGAGACATATATGAAGGGGTGGTGACCACTATTAGATCGTCTGCTGGAGAGACAAATGAATTTCCTATCACTGTTGGGTTACACCAAGAATCTATCTTAAGCCCTTATCTTTTTACTTTAGTTATGGATGAGTTGACGAGAAATATTCAGGATGACGTGCCATGGTGTATGCTTTTTGTAGACGATATCATGCTAGTGGATGAGACTAGAGAAGGAGTTAACACAAAGTTGGAGATTTGGAGAAAAGCACTTGAATTGAAAGGATTCCGGATAAGCAGAACTAAGACAAAGTACATGGAGTGTAAATTTAGTAACAGTAACAATAAAAACAGAGGAGAAGTAAAGATTGAGAACCAAGAACTGCCTTAGAGTGAACATTTTCGTTATTTAGGATCGATTATCACAACAACGGGGGAGATTGATACGGATGTGGCCCACAGGATTAAGGCGGGATGGTGTAAGTGGAGAAGTGCATCTAGAGTACTGTGCGATAAACGAATACCCACTAGATTAAAAGGTAAGTTCTATAGAATGGCTATTAGACCGGCGATATTGTATGAGACGAAATGCTGGACAACCAAGAAACAACATGTAAATAAGATGAGTACGGCTGAGATGAGGATGCTAAGGTGGATGTGTGGCAAGACCAGACAAGACAAAATTATGAATGAGTGTATTCGGGAATAGGTAGGAGTAGCATCGATAGAAGATTAGTTGAGAGAGAATCGATTGATATGGTTTGGTCACATTCAATAGCCGACCCCATTTGACTAACCTTGTAAATAGAGATATAGATCTACTTAATTTGACTAACGAAATAGCCTTTGATAAGGTCGCGTGGAGAAGAAGGATTCATGTAACCACTCTATTTGATGAGACTCAAGGCTAGGCTTAGTTTGGTTTATTATATTAGCAAATGACATAATGAAGATAACCCAATAATAACACAATTAATTAAAAAAATGTCGATACTGCAAGATTTTGAGATCAAAATTGTAACGATTCTGTTCCAGTTAATTAATGAATCAAAATCAATCAAAGAAACTAAAAAGAACAGTGTACCGATTTCTCGTAGCGATCTCTTTCAGAAGCGGTGCAGCTCTCGCCGCTGCACATCAATCGGTGCTCGTTCTTCCAATAGATATCTAAAATATAAAAACCCTAATTTAAAATGGAAAGTAGAAAAGAAAACATTGGAAGAAGTGAAAATTACAGCATAGGAAAGAGAGAAAGACCTAGGAGCTGGAAAGCAGAGAAGGGGACGATGAACAAGGAAGGTTGGAGGATGAGAGAGATGAGAGAGACGAGGCGAGACTTGACGAGCTTTGGAGAAGGTATGGTTAGAAGAATCGCAATCGCAGCCTCGGCAGCCACCACGTACATCAGTATCATCCATTGCAACGCCATTTTCTTCTTTCTCTTCGCTGTTTGCTCTCACTGAGTCGTCTTCTTCTTATTCTTCTTCTTCTTTGCTGCTGCTGTGCTTTCTTCTCTCAGTTTTGGGGACTTTACTTAACAACGAAGCTTTCAGAAGGTTCCTTACAAAATCTTTTTTATCATTGTAGCCAAATAAATTGTAATTTAAATTACAACAATGCTAGAGTGTTATAATTTTTGTGGTCACAATGGCTCAAAACTGTTAAAATGACGTTATTTTGGGTGCAAAACATGTCAAAACGATATCGTTTTGACGGTTTTGAGCCATTGTGACCACAAAAATTGTGACCCTCAAACATTTTCCTTTAAATTATTCGATAAAATAAAATAAAATATATTTTAATACTTAAGCAATGTAATGTTTAGAAGTAAGTTATTTTAGTTAATTTATTAATTTTTTATGAAAATATGTTTAGAAAAATAAAAAATGATGTGATTGAGGTTTGGTTTGGAATTTTTAAAAAAAGAAAAAAGTCAAAAAGTTACAACAAAAAAAAAAATTAAAATTTATCACTATTCACCAAAAACAAATATTAAAAAAATTAATTTAACACATAATAACATTTTAGACAACTCTGCAGTACAACAGGCGGAGGTGACTTTTTGGAAAAATTGCATGGTTTTAGGTGTACAAATAACACGGTGCTATTCGGCCCGTAGGGGCCCATCACGGGTCTCGTTTTAATAATCTGAACCGTCAATGTGTAAAACTCGTTGAGTACTACATGCCTATAAAAAATCACGTTGATCGGATATCGGTAAGTATATGATCAAATCAGTTAAAATTTATAAAATGGATGGTGGTATAGTTAACAATTGAAAAAAAAATAATTCGATCAGATAGTTATAGATATCCGATCAACGGGATTTTTTACAAGCATATAGTACTCGACGAGTTCTGCATATTGAACGGTTTTGATTAGCAAAATGGGACCCGTGGTGGACCCCCACAGGCCGAACAACACCTTCAATTCAATGTCCGAAATGCAGGGAATCATATCCCAGGCTACACACTGCACACATGTCGTCCTGAATTATCCCACCGTACCACATATTTCATCTTGATCTTCTCCTATACACTAATTTATACAATTTTTTAATACACATTTTTTCATAGAAAGTCAAAAAGTTATCATAAACAATCATATTTTTTTCCTCAACTTTTTAGTCTAAAAAGTCAAAAAGTGCACTTATTTAGGATACCCCAAACAATCCCTGAGTGTTTTGACTTATTGACTATTTTAACTCCAACTTAACTTGTTGTAGCTTACTTTTCATATTTTTTGGGGGGGTTTAGTCTCCTCAGATACAATAACCCTACCGTTCAGACTCTTGTGGTTCTGAATCTGGTTTCACAAGTGTAATATGAAATAAATTAAACAAATGAGAGTTCAAATCCGATAAATATTTGGAAATTTGATTCAAATCAGAAATGCCAAAAATAGACTGCATTGTCAGATTTCAAAGCTGTCACCTAAATATTTTTGAAAAATTTAAGAAACCTGTGACTCGTGCCAAATGCCATTTGTCTGTCATAACCAAAGTGTCTTGGCTGGGAACTTAGGCATGAGAGGGAAAGGTCATGAATTGAGCACCCCACTCACCCGATTAAAAATCGGCCCCTACTAATCATAATGTGATTTTTATTTACATTACATGCTCTTGTTCCGATTATTATGCTAACTTACTATGTGAAGCACACAAGTATAGACTATTTCTCCCACTTTAGAATGCTTTGGTTTTATGTTTGTTTGAAAAGAATTTTGAATATGCGCTACTTGAAAAGGTAAGCTCATATGTACATTAATCAAAATCATCCTAACTTAAGCAAATAACCTTCATCCACCGACATTCAAACATGTATATCAAATAAGCACTTAGTCTCATGGTAATATGCTTTGATATGGCAACACTAACATACATGCAATATGCTAAAGAAAAAATGCTCACCTAGTACTCAACTGAGGCAAGCCAAAATAGAAGATAATAGTTAGAAAAATGTTTGCCTTAATATGCAAGTGATTAATACAACATATACAAAATGCAACTATTAGATTCGGTTTATTAACATGACTGAGAGGGAGATTTATAGTCTGGCTTTGGACCGTGGAAAAAGCCAGATAGGATGGGGCCGAGCAAGTTTGGGCCTACCCGGGACTGATCTCACTCGGTCGTGGCCAAGGCCTGAGGACAGTCTCATGTTTTGGACCGAGCTTCCCCAGATTGGAACTTGCTTGATCGAGGCCTATCCCCGAGATCCACCTTTGCCGAGACAGACTTCTGCTACCCAGGTTTTGTGGGAGCACGATTAGCTCAGTTATGCCGGAATGCTATCGAGCTCGGCTGTATGGAGTTCGGCGAATGGAGCACTCGGGTACGCTGCGCAGCGCGGTCGTAACAGGCCGAGGTTGTTCCACCGGTCTGCCGGGCTTCGCTAGCATAGCCTGACAGTTTGGTTAGGTGGTGATTGTAAGATTTGTGCTGATAGATGGGAGAGCAGCACCATGTGTCAAGAGACTAATGGGAGCAGATCTGGGCTTAGAAAGTATATAAGCGAGTCTGCGCCCCCCATGTTGGGATGGAACAGAATTTGGTGAAAACAACCTAAACACTCAACTCTCTCCTTTCTCTCTAGATCCTTGAGTATGTACTAACTTGGCCGTCGGAGGGGTTTTCCGGCCGCACACCGCCGGGTAGCTCACCGCCGTTGTGTTCACAGGTCGATCGGACAGACAGGGAGCTTGGTGGAAAGGAGTACGGGCTCTGCGAAATATTTGCTCTCCGTATAATTGGCGCCGTCTATGGGAACTTCATAGACAAAACCTTGTCTTCCAAGCTCATCTGATAGCCTTCCATGGCGAACAACGACGAGATACCATTGTCCGCCATCGATGGAGTTACAACGGAGTCAGCCAGACGGAGAGACGGACTCCCCGCCATTCCACCCACGGCGGACCTGGAGACTTCCCCAGGAGGACATTCTAGAGGCGCACGAGATAAGCGCGGAAGGAGTTTTGGTCACTCTCGGAGCCTAGACGGACACCGGCGGTGGAGAGAATCACACGCCAGACGTTTGGAGCACAAGTTAAGGGACCAAGACACCGTCATCCGAAGAATGGCGGCGGAGATGGAAGATCTCAAACGACACGTCAAAGGGAAAGGTGTTGCTGGAGTGGGAGACCATAGTGAGCTCACCCAACCACGCCGTTCAGGCAGTTAGAGCCAGCGACATACTTCCTCATTTTCTATCACCAGAAGCTACAAGGTTAGAGAGTCCGACGCGCTTGAAAAGAGGTCTAGTGCGCAAGACAGTACCTATCAGCCCTCACGTCCGGCGACGACGTCGAGGTATTCCTATTCTGCTTGCTCAGAGGACTTGCGGGCAGTCTTGAAGGAGCGGCGAGAGATTTAGCGGGTGTCGGCGCTCCAGCGGCTATCTTATGGGGGTCATGCCAGTGAAAAAGTCGTAATGCCACCACCCCGCCCAGCTGTGCCCCTCCTTCTAGACACAGATTTGGCGAGACTGAGTGCCACTCCCTTTTCCCTGGAGATAGAAACAACACCGCTCCCCGCGGGCTTTCACCAGCCCAAGTTTACGCTCTACGATGGGAAGACCGATCCATACATGCATGTAAGCCACTTCCGACAGGTCATGGCCGGACATAGGCGGAATGACGCTCTTATGTGCCTAATCTTCCCGTCGAGTTTGGGCGAACTGGGCTTGAAATGGTTTGAGAGGCTGCCGGAGGGAAGTCTCAAAAGGTGACAGCAGTTGGCGGAAGCCTTTGTAACTCGTTTCAAGACAAACACTAAAACGCCGAAGGAGGTGGACCACCTTCTTAGTGTCAAAATGGAGTCAAGCGACACACTCAACGCATACAACTCCAGATACTGGGAAACCTTCAATGAAATTTTGGATTGCCCGGTCAACCTGGCAATCACTCAATATAAGCGCGGTCTCCCGGTCGGACATAGATTGCGGGACTCGCTTACTATGAGCCAGCCGACATCCATGGGCCAACTAATGCAGCGCATCAACGAGCACATCCGGGTAGAGGATGATGCGGCGGCCTCCACTACGAAGACAACTCCGGTGGCAACAGACAAAAGGTCGGCTGGCAAGGTACACGCGGTCGGACAGGAGACTAATCGTCCAAATGATCGCGCAGAGGACTCTGACCGAGGCTCAAATCGTTGAAACCAGGAAAGGGATCGTCGTAATGACCAAGATGACTATCCCCGCGATGATGTAACTGATGCCAACAGAAGGTTGAAAGCTCGGACAGGCATCACCACGGTCTTTAATATTCCAATCTATCACATACTTAGTGAAATCCGTGACGAGGATTACGTCCAGTTTCCTGCTAAGTTAGGCGACGCACAGAAGGGTTTCAATCCGCGGTGCCGCTGCACATATCACCGGGAGCGAGGACACCGGACAAAGGACTGTTTGCCTCTGAAGCAACACCTGGAGGAGTTAGTCACCATCAGACACTTGGATCTTTACATTGACGGGGGTGTTAAGGCCGCACATCCCGCCCCGGCTGATCAGCATGGACCGGATGACTTGGAGGCGCCCCCTCAGGGAGTGGTTAATGTGATCCACCGCATAGTGGAGCGGGCGCGTGTATGTGAGCTCCGAGGAATGATCAAAAAGGCAGAACACATGAGTTCTATCAGTCCAGCCCGCAATCAAAAGGAGGAAGACCGAAGAAAAAGACGTGATTAGCTTCTCCACAAGGGACCTAGAGCACATTCAAACGCCACACAACGATGCCTTAGTGGTCACACTCCGCGTCAAAGAATTTGATGTCAAGCGCATCTTGATCGACCAGGGAAGCTCGGTCGAGATCATGTACTACGACACGTTTAAACAACTCAAACTCCGCGATACAGACTTGGCTCCAGCAACTTCTCCACTGGTTGGTTTTAACTCGCAACCGGAGTGGCCTTTGGGAAAGATAATTTTACCGGTCAAAGCCGGATCCGTGGTCAAGCAGGTGGAGTTCTGGGTATTGCAGGTCCCGTCTACGTACAATCTGATCCTTGGTAGGGGATGGCTTCATGCTATGTAGGCTGTGGCGTCGACCTACCACCAGGTTAT